CTTTATGAGCCATAGTTGACTTAAGGACATATAAAAACAACAAGATAATATCATTTTTAGGCAAAAATCTAATGAGCTAAGATGAATTTGAAGTTTCTTTGTTAAATGGTAAACATATTGAATATGTACAAATGTATATTGGTGTCTAGGGCATGATCTGCATGTAGATTTTCATGAATAATTGTACATAATTATTACAAAGAACCATAGGGTATTTCATTCTTTTCCTTTCCTCTTTCCAACCTCTTGCAAAAACATAATTATAGATTTTTCCCAAAAAAAATTTATGGACCAAGAATTCAGTTTCAAAGTCTCCTGAATTTTATAAAAGTTAGAGGAAAATTTCATTTTTGGAAGAACACAATTACCTAGTTGTTTTGTGCTATCTATAGCACTGTGACAATTTGGTTAATCATTATCAATAGATTGTTGTTGTTGTTTGCCATTGAGTAACCTGTGACTCATAGTGACCCTATGTACAACAGCCCTAAACCCTGCTCTATCCTTTGCCAACTTTATTGTCTCTGACAGACCTACCCTATTACCCCAGTCACTGAATCAATCCATCTCATCGATGGTCTGCCTCTCTTGCTCTGTCCTTCCAACCTCCCAAACACGGTGTCCCTCTCTAAGAACTGGCCCCTTCTTGCAACATATCCAGAGTTTGTCAGATGAATTTGGCAATATTAAAGTTATTAAGAAGGAAATTAAATACCAACCATCATGAAAGAGAAACTACAGATTCAATCTACTTGATGAGATGTAAATGTTGACCAGAGTGTTGTAAAAGTATTATCACTTGTTTTTAACAGTGTTTAAACTGACAGTATCACATCTAGGGTCTCTATTGATATTTGAGATGCAGCTTTTCTCTGGAGATTAATAGTTTCTTTATTTCTTTCTTCAATAAATCTGTTTTTAGAGAAAGCTACAAAAGTAAGATTATATAGCATGGTGATTATGAAAGCTGAAAATGCACATGTAAATCTTTAATAATATTCATAGATGCCATCAGAAGAGAATTTCATGTCACTGTGTCCAAATGAATTTTTAAAGAAAAATAATAACCTTTGAATCATATAATCTAATAAAAAAAACAATTCCAGTATAAATAACTTGAATACACGAAATAAATTTGTCTGAAATTTTGGGAAAAAATTTATTACCACTGACCTTGGTTGAGCTGATTGTAGAATCGTCAAATAGTACCCATTTATAGAAATCTTCCTTCTTAGGCCTTTACAACATGCACAAATGGATTCCATGAGCTTGAAATGCAAGCATTTCTAGAAAAAAATTTCAAATTAGAATCTATCAGATAAGATATTAAAATCCTTAACTCTTCTGATTGCTCTCCAAATCTTAAACATTTTGGTCTATTTTTCTGCCTGGATTTACTGAAACATGAGTTATTTTAGTTAAGAATTTTATATAGTTCCAAACTTTACTTTTTACTCATTTGTGCATAGAAGTATAAAGATAAAAAATAAAAATATAT